ATTTTCGTAGGTGCAAGTTTAGGATTGAATGGCCTGAATCCCGTTAAAATCGAATTCTCGAAAATCGATTACCCGAGCGCTTTTGGTAAAAAATAATGCACACTCTCCGAACTAGAACCTTTGATCCGATCCGATTCCCCGGGGTGGATTTCTTCCCCAACAGTTTCAACGGCCTAGAATCCGGTTGCTTGTGTTGCTGAGAACCATTGATCGTCACGTTTCTGCGAGTGGGACTCACGGGGTGGGGGGAAGTACCACGGTAGATCTTAAAGGAGCGGAGCACTTTCACAGGTGCAATTTTAAAACTGAATGGCCTGACATCCCGCGGAATCCGGATTCTCGAAAATCGATTATTTGAGGGCTTTTGGAAAAAAGTAACGCACATTCTCCGAACTCGAATCTTTGATCCGATCCGCTTTCCCGGGGTGGATTTCTTCCCCAGCAGTTTTAGTGGCGTGAGATTGATTGGCTTTTTTATATTTTACTAGCAACGTTGTTTGATAAGTTAAAAGATGAATTTTTAATTTTGAAAAATTTTTGATCAGTTTTTAGAAAAGGAATTTAATGGGGGGAAGCAACATGAACATGATGACATAGAAGCCAAAAACCAATAGTAAAATATAGAAACAGGCATCCAAAAAAAGAACTAAAAACACGTTCCATATACTTTTGATATTCGTAGTTCATGGTCTGGTCCACTAGCTAAGCCGCTGGAAGCTTTTCTGATTCTTTTGACCAGTGGTCAGCTTGCTTACGAACATGGCGAACCTTTTCTTGAAGAGATTACCAGCTTAGCTGCAAAATACTGGTCAAGGCTCTGGCTATTTCAGAGCACCTGAGCTTTGCCATTCTTAGCCCACGGTGAGATATTTTACCAAAAATATTACCTTCTGTTCAAAGTTATAAACATTCTAGTAATAATAAAAAATGTTTATAATACAAACTAAAGCGATTCTTGCGGCAGAGGTACTTCTCAAGGTTGTGGCCATTTCAAGACATCTAGCCTTGCCCTTCTTAGGTCGCGATGGCATATTTTACCAGATAGGAGAAAATATAAAATAGGTGAGTAATAATAAAAGATGCTTAAAATAAAAATTTAAAAAAAAAATAAATTTCGTAAAGAGATCAGCAGGGCAAAAATATAAAGAAGCAGGTTAATTGCGCATGTGGTTTTTGTAGGAAGTTTCTGGACGATGCTGAGGTCGCATTATTGGGCACACTTCTGTCGCTGATTCATCCTGTGTGTGTGTGTTTTTTTTTTTTTTGTATTTCGAGGAAATGAGGAATGACGTCTGCTGTTGTTGTCGATGCGATAGTGGATGCAGTAACCTGTCTGAGAGTAAGTTCTTTTTTTGCTGCGCCTTTTACACGCTTTTCAGAGACCTGTTTTTTTCTGACTTGCGTGCCGAAGTTGATTCGACTCGTTAGATGCGAAAATCCTGTTTATTTTGAATAAATTTACTAAAAACTCATACCTCGGATATCTCAGTAGAGATTTGCCGTTGTTTTGAAACTAGTACAATTGAGGTAATGAAAGAAATCCGTGCGTGGAGTTTCGTACAGTTTGATTCGTTGATCAAAACCGATTCTTTTAAATAACATCACACAAATTTTCTTTAGGGAAGCTGTTTTTATTATAATTTAATAAGCCCGTGTTTCACTTTTGCTGCCTATCTTGTGGTCAGTACAACGGGGGAGGAGGGGGAGGGGTAACTTTCCCGTGTTGCTGTTTTGGAGTTAAGCGTTCTGGTGGCCAGGCTGCTGCTGCTTGATCTTTGTTTGTAAATTTTTTTCCTAATTTTTCCTTCACCAAATAAGCTGAGTTGCAGTTTGGGTAATTTCAGGATGTCAAACATGGAGTTGCGTATTAACCAAGCTGAATGGTTGCAAAAAGTAGACCAAAATCTACAAGCCATATGTCTAATTGGAAGGAAACTAATTTCTGGGCGTGCAGCATGCCGAAATCCGGGCTCCGAGCTCATCCTGATACAGCAAGAGGTACCTTGATCCTTTTAATGAGATATTGTTTCGCAGCAGCCTTAGCTATATTTACTGTGAGTGAGGCTGGATCACTTAAACTGCTGGCTGTCCTGTCGTTAGTTGTTTCAGTGCTTTTGTACTCCTCAAAATGCTAGATGTATTATCGCCTTCTTTCCTCTGCGTTTGGAAAAGACGGGTTTTTCAAAGCATTTGTGACGGGGTTTTTTTATTCTTTCTGGCCAAAATTTATTGATGTAATTGTGGTAATGAGGTTGCACAGTTCTTTTTATGCGTTTTGTGCAGTGTAACAGCAATACAAAACAGATATTGTCACCGGGTTGTCTGCGTGTGTGTGTGTTTGCGTGTGTGTGTGTCCGCAGCAGCTTGTCCGCAACTTTCAATTCGGGAACCACAAAAGCTAGGAAGCTGAAAATTTAGGGGAACGTTCCCCACCCACGTGTGACCCAGGGGAACCACAAAAGCTAGGAAGCTGAAAATTTAGGGGAACGTTCCCCACCCACGTGTGACCCCGCAAATCGGGAACCCAAAAGCTAGGAAGCTGAAAATTTAGGGTAACGTTCCCCACACCACGTGTGACCCCGCAAATTTAAATTCAGCTTCCCCGTACCCGCGGGTAACGCGTACGGCCCTGCACGTGTGACCCCGCAAATTTACAGCTTCCCCGTACCCGCGGGTAACACGTACGGCCCCGTGAAAGTTTTTTACGGGTAAGTTAATATCTCGGGAACCACGGAGTCCAGGAGGCTGAAATTTTAGGTTAATGACCCACTGCCCACGCTCAACCTTGCCTATTCAAATTCAGCGTTCTCGCGCTCTCGGGTACCACCTACGGACTAGTGAAAATTTTGGCCGGTAAACTATTAACTCGGGAAACATGGAAAAATATTCATACTCCAAGGTTTTGAATTCAGCTTTCATACGCTGGTGCATGAAATTTTTAACTGTTTTTCAATGTTTGAA